GTAGAAGATCTAATAGCACTTAGAGCGACATGAAGGAAACCAGCTGCAGCACCTTGACTACACCAGCTGAAGTCCCCCCGTCCGCAAATACCTCGTCCGCCACGTCGGCAGACAGTCCTAACCACGTTCCGTTCCGTTTCCATCCTCCACCGCCCATCGCAAGCACTCGATCGCCACCTACGCAAAAGTGGGAAGTGTGCTTCTTGACTCTTTCATCATGCGGCTCCTCTGCTGCACATATGATCCGAGTCTTGGACTATCACAGTCCGCCAAGCGCCGTAGCTTGACGCCTCAACTCAGTCCACGCAGTCAGCCCAGTTTGTGTTGAGTTGCTGAGTGGACTTTGGCCCCCTCTCGCTTGTGAGGAGTGTGGGTATATTTGGATAGTGCCGCTCAGTCGACGACTGACTGGTTACCCGTTCTCTGAAGGCTAAATTTAGGGCTGCGCGTCACCTTGCTGGGCCTCAAGTTATGTAAGCCTGTGCTATGCCAGTATCAGAAAAAACATCGCCCTGGTGTGCGCTAACAGTTCTCTGACCCCTGGTTCCCTGATGGCAGATGCGTTTGTGTTCCCTCTGATTCTACGGGTCATGTGCGTGTCTGCCCAGTCATCCTCCTCTTTCTGATCCGCTGTTGTGCTGTTGTTGGTTAAAATCATGGTCATATGTTTGTTGTGAACCAGGGGGTGTGGTGGTAGGCCCAGGTGCGGGTCCAGCCGTGTCAGTCTACTGCGCTCTATCCCGCCTCCGGTCTACTGGCCTATGTCATGACACCGGGCTCGAGTAAGGGAGGAGAGAGTGCAGTAGATACTGAGCAAGTCTACTCTCACTATAAAGTAATTCACACGCCAGCCACCGTGCCTCCTTTGTCTTGTTTTGGAGTACGCGTGGACATCTTCGAGCACGACAGTCGAACTATCATGTGGGTGGGGCGGAGTAAGAGGGGAATGGGAGATACCAGTCTGTTGAATATCATACCTGTCATGCTCGCCGTGGACTTCTCCCGCTTCGTCTATCTTCACCGTCCCTCATTCAATGGAGCAAGATAAGCAGAGGACAGTAGAGTACAGGAGGGAACGTTGTCAGGGTAGGGGAGCACAGTGGTTGTGATGGTGGACAGTGTTGGTGGTGGTGTAGGTGTTGGTGGTGCAATTTGGGTGGTGTGCGTAGTAGGGGATCCGTGGGAGGGGGGAGACGAAATGAGAGGGGGAAAGTACAGATGTCAGTCGAATGACTATCATCCTTGTCATGCGCGTAGTGGACTGCTTCTGCTTCGTCGACCCCACCCCTCCCCCCCATAAACACAGACACCGTCCACTTCATTCTCATGCATATTCGGTGTCTTGCGCCCACCCAACCCGTCGCCCATGCCCTGCATCCACCCTTGCGGTTTCACTTTCGCCTCTGTATCCATGGGAGGCCAATGTATGGCCAGGGGTTCTGCCTGGCTCTATGGATGGGTTGTGGCGATGGCTGTGTGGGAGGGCGGGTTGGCGTGGGATGAGAGTGCGAGGCGTGAGGATATGGGCTGCGCTTAGGATGACGGAGGAGAGGGAGAAGTCTGGCACCCAGGAGGTGTTAGTGAGGGCGGCAGGTGATGGAGGAGGCATTGGCAGCAGACAGCACCTCCGCGACACGGTCGCACACCATGTGATTACTACTATATTTGCAATGATAAAAGGAGCCAACCGCTCAGTGCTCGGCCGGCCCATCCACCGGGCTTCACGCTGCTGCCGAGGCAGACAACGTTCAATTCCCGGCAATGCGATCAACCAGACCATCGGCCAAGTCAGCAGGCACCCCACGAGGGAGGCAGTCGAGCTGACAGTCCATGGCCGTTTCACGCTGACGGACGGCCGGCGCTTGTCGTCATCACGGTTGGCTGCCCAGGGTCAGATTTGACTGACGTCCTGGTGATGCGTACTATAGGAGTGATCCCTAGAAGTACGATCTTAAACAGCCTGCACATCCACCTACAGGCCCCTCCATCACCCTCTCTGCCCCTCTTTCTCTACTCCAACAATTTTATTACCTCAGTTACTTTTTTAAATTAATTTTGCATCGCCTTCTTTTCAGCATTTCTGTCATCGCTACGTGTTTCTGTCGGATTATATAAGATTTTGTTTTACAGTTTTGCGTCATTGCTGGGCTATATAAACTATGTCATTTGGACATTTTGTCCACTCTTCATGGTGTCTTGCAGGTTAGTTTCACTCGAGTAAATGTCTCACGAAAAGACGCTCGTCACTCCGAAATTAATACGATATTCTGTTAGTTTATTCGTAAAGAGTGTAGTTGCAGTTTTTTGCCCATAAATGAGGGCAGCGGGCTGAATTATCATGCTTGAAATATCAGGGAGATCGTACCAGACAGTTCGTCCAGTTTAACAAAAACTAAACCCATCTTAATGCCTGCATTGACAGTCAGTGCTTTCCTGTTTTCCTCTGAGGCTTCCGTTTAATCAGACATTTGTCTGAGGTCGACGAATTAGGTCGGGACTGTTGTGAAAATGTGCTCGTTAAATAGTGCAGTAGTATTCATACAGTTGAACTTTGCGCCCGGCTCCAAGAGGATAGGAATTTTCCATCGTCCGTTGTCTGAGATACATGCCTCTTTTCTAACTAGATTGCGCCGAGCTCTATTTGCCAAAAAATTGTTCCGCGATCACCAACTACAATGTTAACTATTATTTATGAGTTTCGAAGGTCACTTGAGTCTTGAGCGGAATTTGCACTGCCATCTACCAACCCTGTACGTGCATAGTCAGCCGCTAAATATCTGGCGCTTAGCACAGACAGATTGTAGTTAGTTTCCAAGTAAAATGATTTCTACAAACATTCGTGTGTTGCAGCTGAGAAAGACGACCACGTGAAGGGTTTTTGAATTCTTCGCAAGTATGCTTGACATGGTTCCGCCTTAAAATGCATTTTTAATCGCAACTTAAACCCTACATATACAGCTCTTCTGTGTGACTTTGAATGCAATGCGTAAGCGCGGTAGTTTACAGATATAAGTACCCCCTGGAATACCTTCGGTAAGATGTGGTTATGTACCGCACCTGATAGACACGATACTGTTAATTTAATTATTTTGATTTGGTGTGATTACGTTGGCATGGTGTTGCTGTGCGTTGCGGGTTTCGTTCTGTTGGCGGCCTTGTTTCTTTGTTGCCGTGTCTACCTTTTTCAGCCCAATGCCGATGGCCCCTCTTGAATTCCGGCCTTTCGCCCCCTTCTAACTTCCGCGTTGGATGTTTCAGGGTTAGGGTTTAGGGCTGCGGTTATGGGTAAGGGTTAATGTTAAAGGGTTAGGGTTGGGGTTAGGGGTTGGATCTTAGGGTTGGAATTAGTGGTTGGGGTTTGGGGCTAAGGTTACGCGGTTAGGGCTCAGGGTTAGGGTTAGGGGTTATGGCAACTATTTTCCAACCACTTAAAGTACAACCACGCATTCCTAAGAGCTTTTCCTTTGCATACAACTACTTGCCCTCGTCGCCTGTGCATTCCCCGGCCCCACCTGTAAAAACTCCCATTACCACCGGTCCCGTGTTACAGGTGGCTGGGGTTTGCTTACCTCAGGTGCGGCTACATAACCACACCTGAGCCTACCTTCCTGCAAAGGATGTTGTTACTGCACCCAAACAAGCATGCAGCGCAAATACGATTTTTCCGTCTTTCGCATCACGTCTCCTCCCCTAAATGACCCCCATCACCACCATCCCCGTATAGTGCATGATCTCGCGTTACTGTACAGGGAGTGGAGAACTAATTTCCTACAAAGAGTCCTTTTATGCATTAAAACACACATACAGTGCAAATGCGCCTCTCCCTTGTTATATACTTAAGAACACTCTTCATAATCTCCTGATCCTGATCTATTACCACCATCCATGTATTATAGGCGGCCTTTCGTCCTGGTCCACATATCCGTGCCCGACCTGTGGCCGGAATCAGTCAGCCATCAAAGATATATGTGAACATGTGCTTTTCCGTAATTAACGAGTTCGTAGGCTATGAACTGGCACTTTTAAAAACAAGGAGAGGACTCAAAAGCCTATATGTTTATTAAGTCTTTCTGGCAATATGAGAAAACTCCTGATTTTAACGTTGAAACGGTAAGGTTGGTTCAATTGCATCTTATGTGAGTATTATGGTTTCAAGAACTTCAATAAACAACAGTTAAAATGGTCCGGAGGATTGGCTACCAATCACTTTTCACTTGACGCCACCAATTGCCTACTGGCAACCGTCAAACCTAAATTACCGCGCTCCTTTGGAGGACGCTTCATGCTAAATTCGGTTACGGACGGGCAGGTATGTGCATTACCGTGGTAACAGACGATTAAGAGATGCGCGTTTTCCATCAAGACTGTTAGTATAGAAATAAAAATTGTGGATCATTTTCCTTGTTTCTTTTTACGCGCTGCATGCAAGACCTCATGGAAAGAACTACGAAAATTACTGAACGTAAAACTGCAATAAATAATGCCTTATGCCAAAATTCACTTCCTCTTATGCCGAGAAAGGTGTTGGATTCACGAATTTAATAACTTTTTTTTAAAATAAGGAGATATAGTTAAGAACTAGAAGTTTGTTGAAGACATGTTGGTGTGTTTTTTTTTTTAAAAAAAATACACCCTAACACACGGTTTCGTGCGAAATGGGGACCTAGTCAGTACACAAGACCTTTTATTTAACAATCGACTGCGAGAATTTAATGAGTCCGGAACCATGTAACACAAGTTCATAAACTTAGTTCAGTGTGAGAAGTAATGTGTATAAGACGTGTTTAGCGAGCGTTATCTGGGACCTATTCCTTTGCACCTAATCATCTCCTTCGACATACAAGATCCTTGTTGGTGTCTCCATTTGGGGCAGATCTAATCTCCAATTCGTCCCAAGTCCTGTCCGACGCACGTTTTTTGACAATGAATGTAAAAAAACTGGATATCTTTGGTAACTGAAAGACAGCCAATTTTAATCCCAGCTAACTCGTACAAATAGGATGGTTTTTGCACAAACCTCTTCTTCAAATGACGAGGAGAACGGGTCAAGCGCCACATTGGAAACCTTCAGCAAGCTCCACTATCCCCTTGAACTGAGCGAAGAGGATGTGCTCGGCAGGACGTTAACCGCACCGGTTCGTTATATCCGACACGAAATATTTACACCTATCTTATCCCACAAATGCATGCATTCGCACCAATGAAGATATATTTCTCATTTTCGGATGACTAAGGAATTTGCGCGCTCGCATTTCAGGGCTAGTCTTGGACTCTGTCTGCAGCTGGCAGTTCCACAACTCAATGTAATTTCTTCATGATGGATGCATTTGTGGTCGGATCTTATTTCTTAGCCGCAACTACAGTATACAAGCCTCAGCTGTCTGTCATAGGGGCCGGTGGTAATAGGGGGTTCAACATTGGCCCCTAACCCCTAACCCTAACACTTACCTGTAACCCTAACCTATGACCCCAAGCCCCTTACCCCTAACCCCTAACCCTAGCCCCTAACACTAGCCCCCAACCCTAACCCCTAACACTAACCCCTATCCCTGACCAATGACCCCTAACCCATAACCCCTAACTCCTAACCCCAACCCCTTATCCATAACCCTAACCCCTAACAGGCGCGGTCAGAAAGTAAAATCTTTCCGTATATATAAATGGAGGAGGAAACATAGAACGCTTCTGAATACAAATTATAGAAATGACGAATTTCTAGGTATATGATCTACAACCGCCTAAAGCATAGAAGAATGAATGCATCGTTAAATGAATCATTTTGGAAAGTTGGAGTGCACAGTTTAATTGTGAATTTAATAGATAAATAGGCAGACCAACTTAAAGTTCGCAACTGGGGTTATTTTCAGACGTCTAATCGATATTAACATTAGTCTTTTCACAGTACTTGTTAGCTCTTACAATCCCAGCTGGTAAACTGCATAAACTGCAATGGTTTCGTTTTGTGAATCGGGGAGAAGATAGTATCCAGTTTTTCGTGCGGCAATTAGGCACCACTCGAAAGAGTCAGAGAACTCTAAACGATTTCTGAAGTCAGCGGTTTAAGCCGCCTCCGCAACAAAAGCATTTCCGGTTTTATTTGTTCGCATTAACTGGTGGTCTATTTCAGCATAATTTGTAGCCATTCAAAGAGTTTTTTGTCATATAAATTGCTGCTTTAATGCACTGAAAATTTCAAACATTGTTACAGTAGCTGCTGGAATAAATTAAGCAAAAATGTTACTTGATTTGCTGAAAACTAATCACCGATTGGTAGACAGCTAAAGGTGGTCCATTTTTCATAGGTACTGCATTACATAAATTTGGTAGACTTCAAAACATTCTGCCGACTAAATAGGAACGAACGTAACGCGATATAATATAACCAACTCTGCGGCCCCAAAATTAATGTAGGGTAGTCGGAATGGCTCAAATCCTTGCTCCTGAATTTGCTGTTGTAATGTCAAACTGAAAAAGGCTCAATACTTATTGTTTCTACCATTTTTAATTTTTCTGATTTTCCGAGTCTTTTCAGGAAAAAAACGTGCACTAAGATTTATTATACTCGGTTAAGTTCCCTTTTGTGCATTTTAGTAAGCTATAAACAATTCCGAGATAATAGGTTAAAAATAAAAGTTTTTCTTCACATTTGCGTTAAGTTAAGAAAGGTCAATTATTCCAAAAATTTCTGAGTTGGATCTGAATTGGTTTGTTTTCACATATAGTCTGGTGAATTATACACGAAGTTTTAAAAGTTTGTTAGAAAAACGGAAGTTCTTGTGTTTTGCCTCATTACTGGTCAACACGCAGTTCGCATGGTCTGAAGAATGCAGATGCCCTCAAAAGAATCAAAGTTTATCATTTCCGGCACATAGACCGACATCCTAGGCTTACAGTTTTGTGGCGCGTAAGAAAACACTTTTCCGCTGCCGCAAAATTTTGTGCTATCCAGTTTCCCAACGAAACGCCTCTCAAATGAACAGACTGCAATTATACTAAGCCATTATGATGTCCTCCGCAAGTTGGTCCTTTTCTGGTGGCATTACATTTGGTAGATTTTCCGAATTTTGCTAGTTTTAAAACGTACGACGCCTTTAGCAGATCTCAACTCAAAGCCGATTCCGTCGCATTATTTAAGCCGGTGCTGAGGTCAGGCTATCTATGCCCACAAAGGTGTACCTGAACAAGCCGGAAAGGCACAGTTCAGTCGAATGTGGGTGCCGGCATTTATGAAAACTGACAGGTAGCATCTCTGACGGAAGCTCGTTTTTGTCGCAGATTAAACCCATTGTTGCTCTGGAGGCATTCATAAAGAAACGCATTAAACCGCACAAAGGGACAACAGGGGTTTCAGAGAGCCCGTGTTGTAATACATGAAATTACTTGTAGGTTAGGCTTCGGTACATCGGAAGGCGGCCGCCAGTTCGTATTTCTTCACTAGCAATACAAGTAGCTAGTCTGAGTGGCTATTCTGAATCGTGTGAGCGAGGCGCCTGCCATTCGGCACAGGCGGTATGCTTAACTGTCAGAACTGCAGTAAGACCACCTCTGATAAAAAAAAATACGCATCATGAACGGCTATGAAAGGACTTACAGTAGGTGGGCTAACTCATGAAATGTCAATCGAAGTTCCAAAATGCGTTTTCGTTAAGAAAAGATTAACGAGTTGGGTTGTAAGGCAGCATAATGCTGTAATAATTCTGTTACCTCAGGATGCCGGCTCTCGAGCAAACTTCTTTCCAGCTGCATGAAGAAACTATACTCTGTAAAAAATGGTTACTTCGCATGTATTTTTCTCATTGATTTTCGTTGCTCTCAAAAATTGAATTATATTTCATTGAAAACATGCGCAAAAATATTTTGCTTTTGCCCGTTTGGTGGAAAATGACGTTTTTATCTAATTTTATGCTCGAAGGAAGGAGATAATTCGGTTTTTAAAAAGTTTCTAATTGTGCGATTTTTTAATACCTTGAAATGCCCATTCATAAAACGTCACGTCTCTGCATTTACCAATGTGGCTTTTGAAGTGAACAATATGGATCAAATTCACTGCCGAATTTTATGAACCCTATATGGTCGCGTTTTATTACCGAGGAGAAATGCATGGTTTTCCGTACGCGGAAATTATACGGCTTGTAATATGGGAACCCTGAATGCACGTGTAACGTCAGGTTAGGTTCAACAGTATTCGGGAACTGGAAAGGTTTTATAAAACCAAATTATATCCTTTCTTCGGGTTTAAAATATAAAAGACGCAAGTTTCTACCGAATAAGCAAAAGAAAGTAAATTTTTCTCGCATTTTTTCCATGAAATATCATTGAATTTTTAAGGGTATCGAAAAACAATGAGAAAATTGCATGCTATTTAAGTAGTCACTTTCTGCAGAGTATAGTTCACGCATGCAGTTGGAAATAGGTTCATTCGACAGCTGGCACTCCGAGGTAACTGGATCATTATAGAATTATGCTGCATGATAATTAGTCTTACAACTCTACTTTCGCCTTGCGAAAAAGAAGGCAGTAAATGCCGAATGTTTCTCTGGCTGTAATGTAGTGTATTCCGGCCCACCTCGCAGAAGGTCGTTGGTTGTGTTGCCCGCTACTAAAAATACTTCTCCAAATATTCCTTTTGGAGTCTCACTTTCCGGACATGACTTTATATGAATCGCGCCGAATTTTCTTTATGTAAGGATTACCTTTAAGACGGAGGATGTCTCTCAACAGTGCCTCATTCCTGGTAACAGTATAATCGTAACATTCGGACTGTGTAAATTAACAATAAATAATAAGTCTTAAAGTACTATACTGCAATGATTGACGGTATATTTAACGTAGAGGAGGATAAAACATAAGTTTCCATTAGTATATCACATTTAACAAAACATTCAAAACAAAATGAGGCCGGATCGCAGTTGGTAGCCAGGTCACGTATTACAGGTGGCTGGGGGGTTTGTTTACTGGGGCTATTTAGTGGGGCTACATAACGACATCTGACCCATTTGGCTTCCGCTTTACGGTTGAGGTTAGGATTAGGGTGCCGGTTAATGGTTTCCGATTTTCGGGTTGGGGTTATGCCTTTAGGCTCGGGTTTTCGGGTTACGGATAGGGTTTGGGCGTATGAATAGGTTTCAGTATAACGGTTAGGTTTTCCAGTTACGGCTATGTCTAAGGACTACAATTACGTTTACGATTTCGGTTAGTGTTAAGTTTAGGGTTGCCGTTAGGGTTAACGGTTAACGTTTAAGGTTGAGGTTAAGGTTAAAGTTAGGATTAGAGTTAAGGTCGCCGTCTGCTTCCCCATTCGTGTCTACCAACTGCGATCTATCCCAAAATGGAAAGTAACCTTGGTGCTTGCCTTAAGAGAACGATTTTTCAGCAGTTTCACCAGATTAGACAGAAATTGTCTTTACACCAGCTGACTGACTTTGAATTTTCTCGCCAACACCGTTCGTAACCTTTGCCTCGAGGTTAAGCAAAACGCACAGACTAAGGAGGTCATCATATTTCGGGACAATGAGGATTTCACTTCCACAACATTTCCGCTTGCAACTGACAAACAATCAGCCAATGTCTGCACATATTAACCACAATTATTGATTTCGTCCTAAGTGATTTAACGAGCTTGCTGGTGAAATAAACTCTCACAAAGTTAATTTCCAGACGTATTGCAGATAACATTGGGCCGTAGAACTTCTCTTTCGCGTCAGTAGTATATAAGTTGAATTTCAGAAATTGACAGGAGCCTGCTCAACCAATGCGCACGACCCATGCGCCCTTTGTGAACAGACGGAGGAGCAGGAGAATGCCGAAAGGCCAGGTGATTTGAAACAAGTCTTTCTCTGTTTTTTTCATCTAATTCATTCTATTTTATCTATTTTAAGACGTGTCAGCTTGTTTATAGTGTGGAAATACGTGGAGTGCAGTGGGGACGGCGTCCCCAGAGTCGGCATTATCCTCTTTTCCCTCCACCAGGCGCAAGTGCACTGTCCGTTGGGAGTGAGCGCGGTGGCTGGCGCTAGTCAAAACGACCCGTCTACGCGTGCCACACACACGATATGGTCCACCACATGACGCGCCGGGTTTTCCCACAGTGAGGGTCGGGTGCATTAAGTACCAAGCAGAATATCGATTGGAAATTATTGGCCCCAATGCGCCAAGGTGGGGGAAGAGGAAAAATGCCACAGTATTTCAGCACTTTCAGCCAGGGGTTGGATGTGGCACTTTCTGAGATCCAGCATCAGTAATAGGGAAATGAGTGGCGTTCCAATCGAGCGTTGTCTTTTCTAGTTCAGCCTCCGTCTAGGTCTGCCCTTCTCGAATCTGTATGAAGGGAGTTTTGCTGGGAAGACTTTATTTTAGAGTCTGGAAGGTGCCGTCTTTGGAATTGCAATGTCGAGTCCTAGCGGAGAGGCAGTAAATACAGCAGCGAATAGCTCGCTTAGGATGCAAAAGCTCCCGATCTGCAGGACGGGAAATAGTGTCTATATCTATCTTTGAGATCGTGTGAACAGGATCTGAAGTTGTAACCAGCTTCTAGAACCTAACTTGCTGCCTTCCGCATGGCGAAGAAAGCACTGTCTTCTTACAGAAGGTGTTTTAAGGCGTTGTTGGGTGTCATGAGATGATACTTAGTAATTTATGTTTTTGATTCTAGTTTAACATATAAGTCATCATTCTGTTATCTGTGTTATTGGTCTAAAAAAGGCCATTTCCGCTTTCAAAGCATCTAACTTTCCGAGTCAACAGCTACTTCTATTGAAGCTGCCGAATACAATTTGGGCCACGGAAAGAGTAGTTTGTCATTCTGTAATTATAAACCGGTTGCGTGTCTGTATAAGTGGTGATAAAACGCAATTTAACGCACATAACCAATCCATTCTGTCCTCCATGACTGGCCGCGCTCACCTTGATGTTAGTCGTCAGCCTTGTGACAGGGCGGTATGGTGTTTGGCTTAAGTGTTGGCCGACCGATGACCGCTTTCCAGGCCTCTGTCATCCCGCGCTGCGCCTTACCCCGGCTTGTCTGATTATCTACAGTGAGTGACCGATCTCATGAAATGTTGACCGAAATTCTGAAATGCGTTTTCGATTAGGAAGTATTACTTAGGTACGGATACAAAATTTATTATCATGCGACAAATTCCTATAATGTCTCTGACTCGCCGGGATGTAGACTTTCGAATGCATGTCTTCTTGACCTCCTGTAGAAACCGCGCTCGGGGAGAAATCAATATTTAACTAGCATGCATTTTTCACATTGATTTTTGATTGCCTTACAAATTCAAATATATTTTATAGAAACCACGGACGAAAATATGTTTTCTTTCAGTCGTTTGATAGAGAATCACGTCATCTTCATAGTGTATACTCGAAGAAGGAGTATAATAAGGTTTTAAAAAAGTTTCTAATTATGAGACTTTTAAGACTGTGCAATATCCATTCATACAGCATCGCACATTTCCGTTTGTCAATGCTTCTCATGAAATGTAAAACATAGTCCGATCCTATTGCAATATTTTATGAACTCCACATGGTATCTTTTAAAGGCATAGATGAATATGTGATTTTCCTTATGCCGAAAGGAAGCATCTTGTAGACTGAAATCGCTAAAAGCTAGTGGAACGGCTGATCAGGCTCGAAATTATTCGGGCATCGAGAAGTTTTTTCAAAATCTAAATACACCACTTCTTCGGGTATAAAATATAAAGACAACGGGATTCTCTACCGATTGAATTGGAGAAAGCATATTTTTATGTATGTTTTCCGTAAAATATGTTTAAATTTATATGACCATCGAAAATCAATGCGCAAAATGCCTATTAATTAAGTAATTATTTCTCACCGATTGCGGTTTCCACAGGAGGTCAAGAAGAAATGCATTCAAAAGCCGACATCCTGTCGAGTCCGAAACAGTATAGGAATATGTCGCATGATATGAATTTTGTAACCGTACTTAAGTAATACTTCCTAATCGAAAACGCATTTCAGAGTTTCGGTCAACATTTAATGAGATCGGTCACTCACTGGGCAGCGGAGACAAAAGCGCGACTTTGGTAGTGAGAACTAATGCCTACCCGCGGAACGGCCGTTTTATGGTCTTTGTTGTTCGCCTCTTTTGGACTGTTGGACTCTGTCAGCCGTTTGCACCAATCCCATCATCAGGCGACTGACAGGCTCGGGGGGTCATTTGGTGAATAAGAGAAGTAGGAAAGAGTTAGATCGACGTTGGAGATTCTATCACCACGGCATTCAGCGTATATTCCTCGTTAAAAACAATCCGACGCGCGCTGAAGCTATCCCGATGCGCCGAACGTCGTGGCTTGGAAAGCTGTCGGCTGACATGATAACTCGGCCTTCGCGGTCAGTCCTGTGTGTTTTTTGCCCCCTAAGATGTGCCAGGCAGTAGATGCGTTGGGCCCACACTGGGGCTAGGTCGGAGTGCAGCAGACGTTATTGAGACTGCGCACCAAAGACAAAAGCTCCACAGGAAGAGGGGCTGGTTGCTCACGTCGCCCTTCTTTTCTTTTCCCGATGTGTAAATCCTGGCCAGTGTGCATTGTGGACTAGTCAGCTGCGCCCTCTCCCGCCTCTAGTCTTTTTGACTCTGTCTTTACACCGAACCCAGCTGGGGGAGGAGGAAAGAGTGCGGTGGATGCAGCACTAGTCTACACTAACTTTGAACTAATTCATGCGCCAGTCGCCGTCCCTGCTCTCGCCCTGCTGTGGACCACACGTCGGACATTGTCGGCAACGACGGTCGAACTATCGTGCGCGTATGTATGGAGTGACTGAGTAGTGGGCTGAGAATCAAGCCGCAATGACCTCTTCCTTATGCAGCCTCTATGATACTTCAGTTCAGATAGGATCGAAGCCGCCCCTGCTGTTTTTTGAAGGCCTTATTCATTGTGTGCGGGCCAAGCAGTGTGTGTGGCACGCGTAGATGGATTGTTGGGCTCTGTCGGTCACTGCTGCCGATTCCGCCTCCGCCCTCCGTCTTTGTTTTGTCACCCGTAATGGATGGGGGGAGGGGATGGGGCCCGCCATCAGTATGGTCTTATTCACGCGCAAGTCACCGTCCCTGCCACCATCTTGCAGCGGGAAATACGGCGGACATCGTCGTTCGTAACGGGGGAGCTGACATTTTTAGCCCATTTAATCTGCGCGCCTTCAGGGGAAGTCCTGTCAGTACCTCAATTACCGCTGTCCCATATGTGTTGCCTTCATTATTTATTATTATGTATAGAGAGGATGCGTGGCTTATTTTTGGGGCCGGCAGGTGGTTATAGTAAAAGCTAAAAATCTATAATGTATTCATTACCCTTCTGTAAATGGTTCTTTCATGTGCACCGTTTGGTCGCCTATAAACAAAGACGAGTAAAAACAAAATTCGCACCTTTCCTGTCCTCGAATTTTTCCTCCTCTTCTAGGAAAACTTCCATTCCATGCGCACTTTCTCATAGATTTTCGAAAAGGCCGCTTTTCAGGCGCTTACATAAGTGAACTTGTAACTATTGATTACTCATTATTTTGTAGTGCACTTCATTTCGATTTAGCATAGTTAATATCATGCTACTTTCGCAGATGTTCCAGTTTATGAACTCCTTAGGAGACGTTAACTGTACTCATTTCAGTGCCTGAAATCGATGAAATCAAAATAAATCTACGGGAGAATTTATTACACCGGAAGCCAAATCTTCCTTCTCAAGTAGAGTCTGAAGGACATCAGGTGAAGGTGTAGCTGATCTTTTAGAGAATTCGAATTCCTTATGTTACTTGGTTCTACATTTGTTCTTGTAAAGATCATGACCTGTCGCTGACCAGACGGTTTGACTAAAACTGAAATGTTAGGATGGGTATTGACAGGAACTCTGCAGCACTTTGGGCCTCTCGAAGTATTCAACTCTTCCTGAGATTTTGAAAGGGGTATCATAACATCAGCTGTTATGTGCAGTATGCGTCTGTCTAGACCCAAACACGCGAAAAATTTACAAACTTTTTGAATGTCGGAAAACTTTACGCAAAATCGCTTAACTGATAGTATTAGCGGCTGTGAAAGCATTTTTTCGCTAGTTTGTTTTGCAAAACCGAATGAGTTGCAGAGCAAAAGGATTTAGCCTGAGCCATGCGTTCTCTTTAATGAAATGCATTTTAAATTACTTGTGATACAACACGAACTACTTCTAGCTAAAGATAACGAAGTGGAGCAGAGGACACCATAAAAGCCATTGAAATGTTTCCCCAAAAGTCGCTTTAGTTACTTACTACTAGTATTATTACTACTACTTACCGAATGTGGGCGCTCTATAGGCTTCGAAGACTAAGGTTTCCTCAAAATTCAGGAAATTGGAAAACTATAACCTTTATCCTGTGACTAGTGCATCCATTTAATAAAAGTGATTGGTTTTTCTATTGGTTATCTGAGGTAGTTTGACGTAGGCCGGAACTTTCGGAATGACTTTGTGCTCATCAGGTGAAGCATTTCAAACTTTGCCCAGAAGGAGACACAAAAACATGCGAAGCTCTCCAAAAACTGCTAGTTTACAATTTTGTAAAGCCTAGAAATCTACTTTCAACTATTTTTGTCGATAAAACTTTTACAAACTCTGTTGGTGCTGAGACTGTTTACAGACAAAAACAAAGACGACTGGGGAGTCATTTCTAGCTTATCAGTAGTCGTCGGCCAGCCATACCCTACCTCGGGTTTTTTGAGAACCTGAAGCTCAAACTTGCGTTCTTGGATCATTGAGTAATGGTAGGCCCAACTCCATAACCGCTGAGCAACGGGCTTGTTGCTCGATCTTAGAGCAGTTTGTGAAATTAGGTTGCTCTTCTGGACTTCGCTGGACACGTAATGGACTTTCCAAATAAATAAGTCGTTCAAACTCATCCTGTATCTGTCGACCCTCCTAAACACTAGCCGTTAAGGGTTCTTTCTTAGAGAACCAGATACAGATCTGGAGTGTCCAATGATCTGTAAAGATTCAGGTTATATCCCCTGGGCATTGTACGCTACTTCTTTTCAGGTTGACACGATTCTGCTAGAACGCATGCACCGGGAGGTGGAGAAGATCAGAAAGGCGACGCTGCAAAAGTCCAAGTAAGCAAAATAAAAAAATTTGAATGCCTGGCAGCACGGCTGAAATCTAAGAACTGTAGAATTAATATGTCGCCTAATACGTTTCATTGCTTCCAGGCATGTCAATTGCTTATTTTGGAAGTAATTTAAAACCCTCTTACGATCTAACCCTATACGTGTAGGTTACTCAAAAGTAAGCAGACTAGGTCGCTGTGCCTATAAATGCTGTCCGAATATTCATCGAGTTCTGTCTATTCCAGCCAATCACTTCAGACCCAGCGGCCCTGGTGTCATATGACACCCGATGGCATTCAAACATCCTAAGAAAGTGGATGTATATGGCTACTTCGCGGTTAACATTAGACATCACTCGGCCTTCGCTTTCTAACTGCAGGTGAATATATGATCTTTAATCGGAAGGGAGCATCCTATTGCGACAGAGAAGGACTGGAGCATTTTGGTGATCGGGATTATTGATTAAAAAACTGCCTGAATCCGCCACTTTGCTATGAATGCTGTTCTGTTTCTTGTGGCATCACGAGGGCCGGACTTAGCTTGAGACGAACAGTCACTGAGTCCCGAGTACGATCAATTACCTAGGCGGTGTCGGGGATTTAGCAGACGCTTTCCTGCGCGTGATGAGGAGCTTGTCTTGCGGTGTCTCACAACGTACACTGCCCGGCCGGCATAGACCAACTTCCACAACTCGCACATCCACAGCGTGTCTCAAACTTACTCAGCCGAGGTCCAAGGCCATCTGCCATCTCTTCGGATAGCCGCCCGAGTTTATTGCAACGCTTCCACCACACTTTCAGACATCCGAGGTTATAAGGGCCTCTAGCAGGACACAGCACGCACACCTGTGCATAAAGCCATGCACCTTACTCTTGCACACTTATAAAACAGCAGACTACACAGAAGGCACAGGTACCGCGGCGGCAGCTTGGGGGCTTATATTGAATACGTCTCTTGTATTGATGGACATCGGGCTTCTATTGCTACCCGTAAGTTTAATCCCAGTGCCGACGGGTAAAGTGTACACAGTGGTCAAACCGCAATAGCTCCCGAGACCCAGCGGTTGAGGACATTTTTGCGTTCGAGTCCGAGACTGAACCATAAACATTTGCTGATGCAACAATACTAGAACACAAGTAATGCTGCTCTGTATTAAGCAAGAAGTAGTAGCAGTCAGCGCCTGTCTTCATTGTATCAGATCACTTCCACAAACAGTGCGGCGCTAATATAACCAACTGGAAACCCAAGCTGAGGAAGATATGACACTAAAGCGAGCTCAAACCGGTCTGGTTGACGGTTCAAAGAAAACCCACACAGTTATTAAATAGCGGGAAAGCAAGAATAAGTCTGAAACAGCTACTTATATGATACCCCTCCTCTGAGGAGTAATTGTCCAAAATATTCTATGAAGACTTGGCGCTCTTATCGACAGTATAAACTAAGGGGAGGGAGGGCAAGTATTTTATTAACGTTTCTTACTCACTTCGTCACTGATAGATACCGTGCTTCTAAACATACATAAGTGAGAGCAGGAGTAAGAATGTGACGAGGAAAAGGAAGGAGGAATCATAAGAACCTATGGTTTTTCAAGGGCAGGCAAGTGTTCGACGTCAGTTATGGTTGCACCACCACACCACATTCTTTGAAGGTAACAGTTATCGGGCATCGACTGGCCTCGAGTCCCTGCCGCAATGCCGCCAAGTCTAGGGCGGCCCAAGCCACCCGTCGACAGGGAACATGAGACGGTTTGAGGGCGGCGTGAATAAACAACCGTGCAGGCATTGAGGGGAGCTGACTGTCGCAGTTGTATTTAATGTCTCTTAGAAAAACTGCCGATCCAGACTTACCTTGCTCTGGGCCAGCAGTGATCCAAACATTCGCACCGGCGCTACGGTCCACACCACGTTAGCCTTCCATCTGCTTTTTTGACCAAGGCTTGTGAGACTGATGTGCCCCCAAAAAGGCCTGGTGGTAGGTCGTACAGTAACTGAATACTCGGCTTATGCTGGGTATTTTGGTGAACAAAGGCTATCGAAAATACTGTTCGGTGCTCCGAGCGAAAAGTGCACAGCAATTTTCTGTATTCGTAAGGTCTCACTTTTTTCTAAATTCTCTGTTTCGTGTCTTATTTGCAGCATGGTTCTCCGAAAAGTTACCACTGGCAATGACTTCGTTCCAGTGATTGTATCTGAGTTAATGAGTCAGGCAAGTTCTTAATCTTCACTTCTTTAGAAGACATTTAATTATTAGCCGCTTTTATTTCATTTTTTGCAGTCAGGTACCTCGTTGTGGAGGTGCGGTGGATGCGCTATCTTATAAAAGTTTAACCGGAATTCTGATATGTGTATTCGATTCGAAAAGATAACTTAAGTGGGGTTGTAATGTTAATGATTGTGCAATGGAAGCCCCAAAATATTTCAGTCAAATCAGGATGCCGGCTTCAAGACGGGTTTCTTTTTAACTTCTGCAAAAACAACACTATAAAAAATAACAGTTTTAATAGTGTGAATCTTTATCATTGATTTGCAATGATCTTATAGAATCAAATATATTTCGCAAAAGAAATACACAACAATATCCGTTCTTTTGCTCGTTTGGCGGAAAATTACGTCTTCCTTAAATTTTTTACTTGAAGTAAGAGTACCTTTTGGTTTTAAAAAGTTCCTGATTATGAGATATTGTGAGATCAGGAACTGTCCATTCATAAAATATCGTATCTCCACGTTTAATAATGTTGCTTGTAAAGTATGCAATATGATTCAAATCCACTGCAAGATTTTATGAATCCCATAAGTTATCTTCTTAATAGCACATAAAAATGCAGGATTTTCCTTACACGGAAAACACACAGCTTGCAGTTTGTAAGCCTTGAACGCAAGTGTAACGGGTGTCGGGTTCGAAATTATTCGGGAATCAAAAAGTGTTTCTGAAACCGTATTACACTCTTCCATAAAGTATGAGATTTAGGGTCCGCGTTACTAGCAAACACGTGAGTAAAATAACGAATATTTTGCGGTTATCTTCTAGATAATATATTTGAATTTATGAGAGCGTCGAGGAATAATGGAAAAATCACGTTATTTAAGTAGTTATTCTTTGCAAAGTATAGTTTTTGAAGGTAATAAGAAAGAAGTTCGTTCAAAAGCCGGCATTCTGACGTGACTGAAATATCTTGGAACTCTGCTGCACGAACATTAGTATTACAACCCTATTTGAGTCATATTTATGAATCGAAAGCGTATTTCATAATTTTAATTAACACTTCATGAAATAGCATATCCACTGCGCATATTGTGGTAAACTTGCTAAGGCCAAAGTGTACAGCCCAGTTGAGTGCTTCATTTCAGGCTAAAACAAGCCGGAATGTAAACAAAAAGTTAGCCGGGCATGTATAACTCTACCCGAATTTACTAATGATGATTAAAAATTAGGGGCTGCCAACTTCTGGTTTCTAAAGGGAAAGGGAATTGCGTGTTTTTAATCTTTGGATATTTGCTCGTTGATGAAATAAGATACGAATAGAGTCGAACACCCGAGTTCCGGGTGTGTGCGTGAGTAAGGAAGAATGAGAAGACTGGTCGACCACTGAAACCATTCGCTTATTTTTCTGAACCTTCGAACTCGTGCACGCAGTGAAGGAACAAAAAATAATTATGGGGTGTATTAACCAATCAACGACCAGTGCCGCCGGTGTGGGGGTGATTGCATAGTGCTGTTTGTGTCGACGTCAGGTTGATACATCGATCGACTGAATTCACGTTAGACACCCAGAATTCAGTGAATTCTCGACTTGTCTTGCCTTTGGCAATTCCTATTATCTTGGCAGTAACAAAACTAAACCTGCGACCCTTTCCGAAAGTCCAGACAGCCACTTTTGAAAATTCCTCATCTGGTAACGCAAACGGTTTGTGTTCATGTACTCACGATCCGGGTATGCGCTCAGCCTGGCCTGTGTAATTACAAGGCTGGGTTTGATATGAGGTATTTCGATGACCAAAACAGGTCGCTGGTACACAGGCTCTGGGCCCCTTTTAAACGGATCGCGCAAGGTTTGCGCTGGGCCAACACGGAGGCCAACTCAGGATTCAGTAGGTGGGCTAACTTATGAAATCTCAACGGAAATTCCGAAATGCATTTCCGTTTCTACAAGATTAATTAAGTAGGGTTGTAGAACCAATTATCGTGCAGCATAATTCTGTTATAATTCAGTTACCCCAGGACGCTGGCTTTCGAACAAACTTCTTTTCGGCTGCTTCTAAATCAAACTCCGTAAAAAATACTACTTAAGTAGAATGCATTTTTCATTGATTTTCGAAGCCCTTAAAGATTTGATTAAATTTCATGGAAAGCATGCATAAAAACATCCATTCTTTGGCTCATTCAGTAGAAAATTACGTCCTCTTTCAATTTTATACTCGAAGGAAGGGTATTATTCGGTTTTTAAAAAGTTCCTAATTGTGAGATTTTTTAATACCGTGAAATGGCCGCCTGCGTCCGATCCAGCCTCCCGTTTCTTTGGCTCTGTCTTGACACCGGCTTCAGGAGGAGAAGGGAGGAGAGAGTGTGGTAGGGTACAGCGCAATTCCCCTATCATTATAGGACAATTCGCGCGCAAGTCACCGTTCCTGCGTCCACCCTATTGTAGGACACACGGTGGACACCGTGCGTGACGACGGCCGACCTGTCAACACAGGAGAGCAACTAGCGAGTAAGACCGATCTCTGGGAATCCTTCCTCGCGGTAAATCAGCACATCTCCTACTATAATAAGACGAACGTCCTTGACATAGTCGCTTTGCGCCATCAGGCGTGCATCGGAAGGTTGTAATTGGCGGGTCGGGTCTCTACTGATCAGCAGCGACAGTCAGTCTGCGATGGCTCCCCCTTAATGCAGTTTTCTCGGCATTCACACTTGCGCGGAATCCGACCCACCTCGAGGCGTAGCTTGGTGCTTTTGTCGTCGAGGACCAACTCGTGTGTAGTCGGCGTAGGCGAGCCGTCTAACCCTTCCAATCATTGCTGCTGCGCTCATATTCGATTATTTTCACTTTGTTTTGCCATCTGAATACGATGGGTGTTAAGAGAGAGAGATAGACGCGGAACCAGTTTGCTTAACCATGAACCGATGTAAACGTAAATCATGGCTGCGTCCAGCTCGTGGGGGGGGGACAGTGATGGAGCCTATCACTTGCAATGATCTAACTCCTATTGACCCAACTGTGAAAAACTCGGCGCCTCGGTGGGATTCGAACCCACGCAGTAAGGCGAAGGCCTTCAATGAATGATCAATGAATGATCTAACTGCCACAAGCATGGCAGAAGTGTACAGGGCTGTTGATTGAGTGAGCGTCTGACGACTACATCTTTTGCACCTTTGCTATTGCGTCGGTACCGCTTCGATCTATAATCTCGACAGTGCCAAAGTCAAACTCTTGGCTAATCAAAGCCAAATGTGCCCATCGACCTAACCTGAATGGAACCCGTGCGCGTGTTAGGCAGTCCACTTTCATGACCTCTGTCCGTAACGCATACATATTGCATATTTTATCTTTAAAAGGAAAACAAACGTTTTCCGGGAAAAGACGCATGCTAATTACACAGAACGATTTCGTCACTGATGAGTTCGGAAAAGGTTATCAAGAAGATGCATGGCAAATGCTGACGCATCACTCTGAATCAGTTATCTAAAGGTCGCCTTCCTTGCTTATCTGCCTGGTAGCTCATGCAGGACAATCCATCCTGTCTGAAAGTGCTGTCAACAATTTCAGTCTATGGATCGTTACTTCATGACACGAAACCGTTCAGTAGTCTCCTGGTCTACTCCCTCAGACACTCTTCCTTTTTGCACTGCATGTAGCTAAAGAATCAGTGGGAGCAATGGAATTATCTGCGCGGTCACATGGAAACGCCTCCAGTCGTACCTGACACTTCCAGACACCCAAACGATGGCCGTCTGAGCCGAATCTCTGGATTTGCTTCCAGCTTCTTCGCCAGTACCGGTCGGCGTATGCAACGGCATTCCAGTCGTCAGGTTTCATCCAAGGCCCACAGAACCGTCTCGCAGTACGGTGGAGCCTCGAGTTTCACAGCTGAACACAGCAAGACTGGTCGCAGTTTCCTCGAGTCGGAAGATGAATATGGACGTCAGTGGCTGGAACAGGTGTACCGCTGTGAGTGCGAAATCAAGGTGCTTGTCAGAGAACTACTGGCCGCCGGAGAGAGCCTCTCATCCATCTCAAGAACGCTGTAGGAAACATGGGGTTTTATTGCACACTCTAACTATTACCGGTATAGGTTTTTGTAAAATCGGATATGTGACAGGTTTCAACTTGTTAGGAAGTATGTACTGAAGATTAAGCTATCAGGTGGTCACTCACGTGGGTAGAAAAGTTACCTGTGTATGTGCGCGTGTGTGGTTTTGCGTGTTTCAAGTAAATCCGGTGAACGCAGTCAATAAATGTCGGTGACACATCTAGGATAATTTTGTATTTCCGTTCTAACTTGTTCTCCAAAACGCCTTATAAAGGCAGAAATAGGGTTTGTCTAACGTGGAAGCTAATGAGTGCACAGGGCAATAAGATATCTAGACTCTGTTTAGCATAAGTATGGCTTTTCTTGGTCCCATCATGTAGTAGATGAGCGCTAATTAATTTGCGACTGAATCTCGACCGGTAGTTTTCGGGCGGTGTCCCATTTACTCATTGATTAGCGTCTTGGTTACGTGTACAGTCACAATATCGAAATATTTTAAAATGGTCACAATTATACCCACATGTAGACGACCGACAAATGACAAAAAGGTAAGCTGTTTGGTAAAATCTCCAAGTCCACTTCGGCGTTTTGGCAATTAGATCGTAGGACGCTAAGTAAAAAAATTGTTTCAATGTACCCTTTCCACGTCAGCCCCTGACAAGTGCTCAAGGTCATATAATTCTACTCAGCGCAGTCACTCAGCGTGGCGAGTTGATTGGGTGCTTGTGGGGACCTGTGATTGGCTGTACTTGAGGCTGAACGTGCGTATGCTCCGGCCGCTCGGAAATCGTGATCCCATGATTCCTAGCTTGGAGTAGGTGTCCGAGGCGATAGACTTACACGCACCGGCTATGCTGCAAGTCCTAACTGTGCAAATTACCCAGAATTATGTGCATTAGTCGGATGAACGTTTCCTCAGCGGTGTCTGATGTTTACTATGATCTAAAGCGTACACCAAAGGCGAAAAGCCCTGTAAAATCTATGAAAGAAGTGGAAGCTGGCAGTTGAAAATGTTATTCCTTTCTTCCCTTTAATTTAGGTTTCGAATTTCTTCGTGCCTGCAAATAAAATACCGTATTGCGACTACGTGAAAACCAATAATTTCTAGAGTTTACTAGGAAACATCTTTTTTCTATTGATACAGTGAGTGACCTATCTTATGAAATGTTGGCTGAAATTCTGAAATTGGTTTTCGATTAGGAAGGATGACTTGGTCGCGGTTGTGATACTGATTATCCTAAGGTATACTCTTATACCATTTCGCACTCGGCAGGATGTCGGCTTTTAAATGCACTTCTTTTTAATCTCCTGTAGCAAGCGTGCTCGGTAAAAAATGACTACTTAATTAGCATGCATTTTTCCCATTGATTTTCGATGGTCTTGGAAATTCAAATATATTTTATAGAAACCACAAACAAAAATGTGCTTTCTTTTAGTCAATCAATAGAGAATCACGCCTTCTTTATATTTTATACTTAAGGAAGGAGTATAATTAGGTTTTAAAAAAGTTTCTAATCATGAGACTTTTTAAGACCGCGATATGTCTATTCACAAAGCATCGTACCTGGACGTTTACAACTGCTCCTCATGAAATGTGCAACATGGTCCGCATCCATTGCAAAATTTTATGGACCCTCTATGATATCTCTTTAATGACATAGAAAAATATGGGGTTTTCTTTACGCGGAACGCATGCACCTTGTAGAGTGTAATCACTAAGCGCTAATGCAACAAATGGTCAGGCTCCAAATTTTTCGGCAATTAGAAAACTTTTTTAAAACCCAATTATACTCCTTCCTTAAGTAAAAAATATAAAGAAGACGTGATTCTCTATTGAGTGACTAAAAGGAGGCATATTTTTGTTTGTGGTTTCTATAAAATATATTTGAATTTCCAACACCATCAAAAATCAATGGGAAAAATGCATGCTAATTAAGTAGTCATTTTTTACCGAACACTTTCTACAGGAGATTGAACGGAAGTGCATTTAAAAGCCGACATCCTGCCGAGTTCGAAATGGTATAAGAGTATGTCTTAAAATAATCAGTATCACAACCGCGACCAAGTAATCCTTCCTAATCGAAAACGCATTTCAGAATTTCAGCCAACATTTCATGAGATAGGTCACGCACTGTATGTGTCGAGGGAAGCGACGTTGCACGGCACTGTTTAAGTTTGCAATGACTCGGCTTCGAAGATGGTAAACACTAGCTTGCAAAAAGATAAACATTGTAAAATTTTTGGCGGGCACGTAAGCAGTCAAACCGAAACCCTTCAAGCCTCCATAGGACTCGTCAACCACGCCTTCTTTTTCTTTTAAATCCATTCTGATTTATAGACAAGGGGAAGAGTTCACAAATTTTCGTCCTGAAAATGTTGAGGCCATTATAGAAGACCTTCAAGCCAGAACGACGGCCTCCAAGTTCTTTCAGACCCACCGTCACCGCAAACTGGTAGAACGATGGTCAGAAATCACGCAACGGTCCCCCTCAACAAACCCACAATACTTCAACATCAGTCGTCCGGATTTGGGCCTCCTTTTGACAAGCAGATCATCCAGCAACAATTCTCACGTGGAACGGTCTCTCGAAACTGAGACCTCCGTGGAAGGGACCGACCTGTCCGATGGAGACGGGAAGTCCGCTCCATCCAGTAGACAAGAGAAAGAAAATATGCCACTCTCTTTTTCTATGTATGAAACAATTTTTTGCTATTACGGCGAAAATTTAAGCGGAAATTTTGATCCCGCTGTGATATTCTGTCCTTCTGCGTAACCAACATTTAAAACACTTTTCAAGGCAGTAAAATAGATTTATAATGCTATTTACCCTGGGCTTTTCAAAAACTGACATTTTACCTGCCCCCACGTTGTTTACGCTTAAACAAAGGGAGTTACTGAATATTTTATGCAGCTGACACGGAGACTTTTTAAAGTACTGGCTCAGAATTTTAAAATATGTTTCAACATAGAACATATTGCTTGCACGGCGCTGCAGGCTGACATGAATCCTCGTAACAATTTCATTCATTTAGGGTTTTTCGGTTGAGTATCTTTCCAGTCACCTGTGTAAATTGCATTCAGAAGAAACGATTACTAAATTAGCGAACATTCTGTGGTTTATTTTCCATGCTTGTTTACAGTTAGTCTTAAGTTCTGAAAAAGAAGCTCGAAAAAGATCTACTTGTTCCGCTCAGCTTGTTGGAAAGTACACCTTCTCCATAGTCTCTAAGTGAGTAAAGGTTGTATTTCGGTTTTCAAAGGATTACTCATTCATGTACATTATGAAAATCAGACTCTGTTTTTCATTAGTTTGGGGTCGGCAAAATGCACGACATCGATCTTATCCGGAGGAAATTCAGGCTAGATCGCAGTTGGTAGCCAGGCCACGTATTACAGGTGGCTGGGGGGTTTGTTTACTGGGGCTATTTTGTGGGACTCCATAATGACATCTGACCCATTTGGCTTCCGTTTTACGTTTGAGGTTAGGATTAGGGTATCGGTTAATGGTTTCTGATTTTCGGATTAGGGTTATGTCTTTAGGCTTAGGTTTTCGGGTTACGGTTAGGGTTTGAGCGTGCGAATAGGTTTCAGTATTACGGTTAGGTTTTCCAGTTACAGCTATGTCTAAGGGCTACGGTTACGTTAACGATTTCGGTTAGGGTTCGGGTTGCCGTTAAGGTTAACGTTTAAGGTTGAGGTTAGGGTTAAGGTTGGGATTAGGGTTAAGGTCGCCGCCCGCTTTCCCATTCCTGGCTACCAACAGCAATCTACCCGAAATTCATATGTCTCTAAGAGAAGAACACCTAGGACTCACAAGTACTGTCGTATCTGTGCAGCAATGATGACACGGAAGGTGGGATAGACATTTCTGGTTTATCGGTCGTCATCACCCAGTCATACGTTGACTCCCCCCCATTATAATGATCCTAAATTCGGACCCAGACTCTCTGATCATTGAGTGTTCTTATGTCCAACGCTCGAGCACTGAGCCACGGACCCACCGTCAGGTCGGTTGTAATCGGGAATATTGACTAACGTGGGAGGTGCGCCCACTGGTCTGGTTACAGTACAGAACTCGCCTCCCCCTCCCCCTTGTACCTCAGAGCTCAATCTAGAACCCTAGAAAGCAGTGGCCTAGCAACAAACAATGACGCAGAGGGGATACCAAGCTTGGACTCAGGTCACGGTTTCCCAAAGACGACTAATAGGCCAGAAAAACGCCATTCCATTCTGAGAGAGGGGGAGGAAGAGAGGGAGAGGGAGAAGTACGCTTCATTTGGAATTTATCATTCCAAAATTGTCAGATAAAGACATCCTTTAACCACGTGGTCAGATGCAAATCAGTAGATAATGAAGAAGTAAATGGGTTTGCATAATGCTGTACAACTACTATGGGGGACAGCTCGATCTCTTTACGTGCTGGAGATGGTAGTACTGAAAACTGATATGCCGATGTACAGCTAGCGGCGTATTGGGCGGAAAGACTTCGTCTTGGCCTTGCTACGCTCTTTCTGCATCAATACTGGTCGTTATGTGACCGACTGTGAGGGAGGGTGGTAGGTTCGAGATTGAACATGTCCGGCACTGTAAAGTGTATCGTGGAGACTGCCTTTCCACGTCGCGCAATGTTTCACGAGTTCTAGTGCGTCCCTTCTGAAAATCCGCCAATTCGATTGCGTGAATTTTTTTGCAATAAGCGACAGATGAGCTTGATCTAGCAACTTAATTTCCCGCCAAACCCCTTGCAGACATCGGTGAACCTGAGACATCACATGGGATACCTACCTACCACAAGAGCAGTTTTTCTAAAATTCCCATAATACTTACTCATTTGTAAGGCTCAGAGTAGAGATGTTCAGAGAACTGTTCAGTTTCATGTCAGATTTTGTTGAGAACGTAAAGATTGTTTTAATCTACACTTTTTGTTACTCGATTTCCTTCAGTGACGTTGTTTTTCTGGAACTCTGCTGCTTGGCGTACCTCTTGGAGGCGATGTC